CTCAGCAAAAAGAGGAGGATTGGTAGCAGATGTCAGCTCAGGGCTAAATTTCCTCAAAAAAGAAAAAGAATGCAAATATTCACGTGGATGTTAGTAGATGTATACAGAAAGGAAAAATTCAGAATACACACCAAAATAATGACAGAAATAAGATTATAATAATTTTTTACTTTAATATTCATATTTTTTCAGTATTGTCTGAAGTTTTATAATGAAGGATTAAGGGTTTTAAAAATTAAATTATTTCAACTTTGAGGTTGAACAATTTGTATTCACCGTTTTGAATGGCGATGTACTATCTCATTGAACGAACATTCGTGATTTCTTTCCCATTCCCCACTGGGTTCCTGTAGTCACTGTCATGTTCCTGTATTCCAATCCTCTGTGCCCTTCATACTATTTCCTTGGGTTATAGTCTCAGAAAAACAAGACGGGAACAATGGGTATGAATGTTTTAAGCTTTATTACTCATTGTCAAACCCTTTCTCAGAAGATAGCCCCTGTTTACATGCCCACCAGCAGCGCTAGTTTACTCTTCTATTGCCAAATAGGTTACACTTACTCCATAACATCTTTTCTGTTTTGATGAGTGGAAAGCAATTTTTGTAACTGGGTGTTAAAATGGAAATACAGCCAAAGTGTTAAGTGGGTCAAAACCAGGTGTGAAAGTACTGTGCTAGACTGACACGCACATTATCACAGTATTTGCCATCAGCTCACATTGAGGGTATTAATGGGTAAGATGTCGGCTTGAAGACTGCTTTTGTAGCTGTTAGGATGATGGGAGTCATTACCTCCACCAGCCATGAGCGAGAGGAGTGGGCAGAGCAGGGGCGCCCCTCACCTCAAGCCCCTGGAGAGAGACCTCAAGGGGCTTCTGAGGGCACTTGACAGGAGTCACCTACACCTGGAGACACAAAGGACTATGAACTTCCAGCCTTCAGCATTACAAAGGGCAAGAGACAGGTTGTCTAGGTAAGGAGGGAGGAGTTGAAGACAGGTGGCATTGTTCTGTGGCCTTCTTTCAGGGCAGAGAGTGCGTGAATGTTTCTATTAGTCATGATCTGAGCCATGTGTGACACAGTCCTGCCCTAGCAGGCAGCCTGGAGGGGCAAGCAGCGTTATAGAGAGAGGCTAGAGGTATGGCCCAAGGGCTATGGCATTGATCAGCCCCAACAACAGCACTGCGGGTAAGAGATCCCCAGCGATGGGGAGGGAGAGGTTCTCCAAAGCATCCACAAAATACCGCGAGAAACACAGTGAGCTTTAAGCCACTGCCAAGTCCAGAGAACACTGCTACCTCACCCCAGCGGGATCAGTCAAGTAAGAACGGCAGCGCTCCCCTCTTCTTTCCTTCCTCCCCATGCTCCAGCCCCAGAAGGACTGGAAGCCTTGTTTAGCAGTACTTGGTGGGGGGCACAGAAGAACAAGGCAGAGAAAAAAGCCACTCACAGAAGCTGGGGAAAAGGGGAAGAGCTCAAGACTTCAAACCAAGCTTGGAGTTTCAACTATGACTTGGGATGGAAATTCTGGTTAATAAATTAGGACTCTTTGAATTGCCCAAGAGTGACAAGTAAGACTGTGGAAGCTGCTTGAGTTTCTACTCAAGGACAGGGGAAGAAGTGGCCCACAAAGTAAACTTTGAAAGGTAAAAACTAGGGTTGCATCATGACAATCTGTCTTAAATTTGTATTACTTTGGTTGTAAATTGGATATTTTTCAAATATTTATTTGGCAGTTGTATCTCGAGTCGTTAGGAATTGCATTTACATCGATATTCAGATATTGGGACCTTAGTGATCTTCTTGCTGACCTCCGTGGTACAACTGTGTGCAGTTTTGTCATGGACATGAGTGTTTGCCCAACAGACTAACCCATCCTGCAGAGCCTGAAGAAATAAAATGGAAACAACAAATACTAGCATTCACTTTCTATTCAGTTAGTCACGTGAACCAGAAGCTTTGACTTTTCCATCTAAATTCTAAGTTGTGTTCAGGCCAAATTCCAGGCCTTTACAACACAGCTCTTTGAGCCGGAGCAGCGCTAGGCCTTCTCAAACTTCCTTGCACTCAGTGGTGTGGCAGCCTGTTAAGTTTCATTTTTGTGTGACCCTCTACGTCCTTAGAATTGTCTCATTATGGTCTCCCACAAAACTACTATTGCACTTGAAATTGAAATTAAACCCTCGATCATGGAAAACATCTTAAGTGGAACTCCAGAAATGGCTTTTTTAATTGATATTTCCAAAATGTGGGGAGTGCAGAAAAAATTCAAGGTTCATGTTAAACGCAGCTGATCCTTTGTCCCTGGGCCTCGGTCCATACATAACACTCCAGAGAGCACTTTTGGTGCCTAAATCCTTAGGGATTGGCACAGAGACCCTTGGCCTGAGCAGTAGTTTTGACTCTGCCTAACTACTCTCATGTTTTTCAATCTTTGATAAATTGGGAAACTTTTTGGAATTGAAACCTTCTTTCATCTACTTGAACCTCCTTCCTCGTCGACATCCGGCCCAATGCTGATACTCTGTGCTGATACAGAATGGAAGTATCCTCTGTACCTGTCAGCATACTGTACCGCCTAGACTTCACTGGTGACAGTCAGGCCCTTCCAGGCACGACCATATTGGCTCTGCTTTCGGCAGGATCCAGAGTGCTCTTTACTCTGCTATCCCAGCGTTTTGTCTTCTTTCTTTTTACCAAAGAGACTAGGAGAAATCATTGAGTTGATTTGACTTTTAAATAGCTCCTTCTAAAAATATCTCACTCATTCATTTATTCTTTCATTCATTCAACAAATACCTGTGAAACAGCTGCTCTCTACCGGGTGCTGCCTATCCACACCTTCATTTCTGTTTCCTAAAGAAGTAAAGGAAATGGCATTCTAGGATGCCTATGTTAAAGGATGTGTAACTTCCTAGTGAACGGCCATCTAAGAACAAATCTCCCTGCTCCTGCTTATTCCTTAGTTCACCTAATGAGATTAGAAGCATGTTTCCCAGAGGAGGTCTGATTTTGAAAAGAACAAAGATTAGATGACCAGAATCAATGACACAAGTAAAGGCTGCTGCAGGAGGGGACTTGGAGGAGGACCGACTGATGGAGTGCTTAGCTGGGGCTTGAAATTTGATTAAAAGTAATTCTACAGGAAAGCTGAAATTATTTAATTAGATTTTTTTTTTTGAGGAAGATTAGCCCTGAGCTAACTACTGCCAGTCCTCCTCTTTTTTTTGCTGAGGAAGCCTGGCCCTGAGCTAACATCCGTGCCCATCTTCCTCCACTTTATATGTGGGACGCCTACCACAGCATGGCGTGCCAAGCAGTGCCATGTCCGCACCCGGGATCCGAACCGGTGAACTCCGGGCCGCCGAGAAGCGGAATGCGCGCACTTAACCGCTGCGCCACGGGGCCGGCCCCCTTTAATTAGATATTTTTAAAAGATTCGATCTTTCTTTCATGAAGAGACACCCTCAGGGGTGTTGCACATACACTATGATCTCTTTTTACCAACTGCTGAGTACATTTTAGATATTTTGTGACAAACCCAGTGGCCTCTAGAGTAGAGTTTCTTCAGGAGCGAGGCCCAACTACAGCCAATTAGGAAATTAACACATCACATCATTTTTGTTTTGGAAGTTTAACTTTTAATAATTTGGAAAATCAGTAATTTTGAAGACTGCTAAGTTTGAAAATTACTGATATAGTAGAAAAACAGAATCACCCTCACAGGTTGTAGAAAGATGTGTTGTGAAATTATATTCTTGGTCCTTAGAGTTTGCAGTAATGTTAGCATCATCCCACGGTCAGCTCTCACCTTTGCCTTGACCTTCAATGCAGGAAACCTTAGAAGGCAGAAATTGAATAAATAGCATCAGTGGAGGCAGTGGTCTCAGATTTTCCGTGTAAGGTATTTCCTCAGTGATGCCAACTAGACTTCATTATCAAAAACTGAGGGTGGTCCAGCTTAAGGCAAAGGTGGAATTTATAAGGCATCTCCCAGAGCTGGCCTTACAAAAAGTAATATATGATAGTCCTCATCCAGTGGATTTATTCAGCATCTAGAACATATAGTTTATCTTTAATATTATGACTCAAATATCATATATTATGGAAAAATGACAAAAAATATTCTGGAATTTGAGACTGTACGAGAGGGCTCTGAATGTCTTGATATTATTGTAAGATAATATTCGCTATATTCCTGAAATAACTGAAGAAATTTGACTACATGGCAATGCTGCTGTCGCCATCCTCTCTCCTTCTGTCACCCATCCCATAAACCTGCCACCCAGATGGACTCTCCCTGGAAGCCAAGGAGACTGAGTCCTCGGGAAAATGGAATTAAAAGGTAGTCCTATTACAGTTAGGTAAGATGTTGTACTCTTGACTCTCTTAGTAAGAAATAGTTGATTGATGATGGGTCCTTGTGAAACGACTCAAAGAAGGTGCCAAAAATTCTTCAGTTTACGTTAAGAGAATCTTTCCATTGACAGAAGAATAATTGAATGTGGCAATAATGATTCCCTTTTCAAGCAATTCCTTTCCTTTTTACAAAATGATGTCATTTGTATATCTAGATTTTTAAGCTCATTTGATGTCTTATTTAAAAGGCTTTTATTTTTTGCCCTTATTTTTTAAACTAATTAATTTTTTAAGACTATAAAAGAGCATACAATAAATTCTAGTCACTAAAAGAATTAGGAAGACAGAAGGGAGTGAAAATATATTATATATAAAATTATGACAACTATTTAATAAAAATAAAGAAATGATTACCAAGTTTCTAAACATGTCTATTTTCCTATAACACGATAAATATGACTATGTTTAAATTTCAGTAATAACATTACACATTATTTATTTTTGTCAAAAAAATAGAAAATTACAACGGGGAAAAAAGTGGCAAAGACCAATATGTCTTGATTTGTAATAATACATTTTTATTTTTAGTGCCTTCGGGTTAACAAACATGTGAGAAATGATTGATATTTTTCCTTGCAGCGGTTTACCTCTGCAAGAGAACAATGCAGAATAAGGCGCGGCTGGAGCTGGCAGACTACGAAGCTGTGAGTACCACTGCCTTTCTGGCAAAGAAAGTCGTAAAATGAGCAGGAATAAGACCTGTGCTCATTTCTGGGGACCCTGTTAACTTTCTACATTCATAGATTTTAAGGATCAGATTTCCAGGGATCAGGCAGCATAATGACCTGATAAATGTGTGACTTGCTTGCTTCCTCAAATCACTCACATTGAGCGTGGTGAAATTCTAAACACACAAACTCAGAGTAGAAGGAGGAAACATACCTTATTTGCTAAAATTGACAAGTATAAAATCTTTAGATCTATAGTATGTAGAGTGAAGATATCCAAACGTAGAGAATTAAAGAGCATTTACACTGGGAAAATGGTTTTTGCAAAACTCTCAGGTTGGTCACCATCAGCAGATAGAATTAATTTGATGTGGTTTGTTCAGATGGCTGTGCTGCCATGATTGACTCAATTTGAAGCACTGTCTAGAAATGGGGGGTGGGCTGCCAAAAGTTTACATTACCGTCAAGAGCTGGATAGACTGGATCAGTAGCAGAAGGTATGTCTTTCCTGTTCCTCAGTAAAATGAGCACAGAAAAATCCAACAGATTAGTCTTGAGCCCTTTTTTTATGCAAGGTAATCTTAGTACTTTGGAATTTTAGTTGTGTTCTCTAAAGTCAGTTATTCATAAAAATTCATATTTATCATAGGTTTCTCTGTTTCCCCTATGACTGTTAATATGAGGATTAGCTGCATTCAGTGAGCACGACTTATCATTCAGAACCAGAGTTTACTTACTGCTTTAGAATTTCATACTTGTTTTCTTGATGAGTATGTATGTGCGGTGGATAAACTAGAAGGGAGCGGAGAGGATGCGCGCTGGAAAGCCTTCCCCTGTGCTGGGGTGTCTTTTTCAGGAGAGCCTGGCCAGGCTGCAGAGGGCCTTCGCCCGGAAGTGGGAGTTCATTTTCATGCAAGCAGAAGCACAAGCAAAGTGAGTCCTTGTGAGTCTTTTGGAAGATTTGCTCAAGTTGTGGCCTTTTGTCCAGAGACTACAATTAGTACTTATATAGTAAGAGGCGCTACTTATTATTTATTGTTACGATGTTGACAGAGTGGACAAGAAGAGAGACAAAATCGAAAGGAAGATCCTCGATAGCCAAGAGAGAGCATTCTGGGACGTGCACAGACCTGTGGTAAGCAAACCAGCGCTGTCTCCAGTTCATAACCTCAGCCTTTGGAAGGTGAGGGACGCCCTAGAAAGTGAGGGAAGAACGTGGGAACCCCATTGCTTTTCCCAAAGTCTTGGTGAATTAGTTAAGAAAAGATTGCCCCTTTGTGTAAGATGACCAGAGTTCCATAATGTAACATTTAATTAAAAAAACTATGCATTTTTCCACCATGATGTCACTTGCTTGCTCACTCTCAGCGTTTGAGGTGCTTGATGCTTTTTTACCCTTGGAAGAAAGAAGATGGTGACAAAGCAGTTTTGCATGGCTTACTATTTACCTTTTTCCAGATTTATAGTAAAAGTGGAAGTCATAATGTTGTTCTTCCCCTAATTTTTTTTAAAACCTATTAATAACCTGCTTTGGATGTCAGCTTTCACTGACAAACATTTTAGATGGTTCAGATTCAAATCAGCTCATACTTTTAAAGATGTGACTGGTCATTGGATCCTCATACAATGACTTAGCTGGTTTTCTTACATCGTAATGTTAAATCATGTGACTCACAGTAACAAATAACGAATGTCCTTGGTTAATACCAGAAAAGTTTGGGTAAGAAATTAAACAATGATTACGAGCATCTATAAGGAAAGACGTCTGATCTCGTCTATTTCTTTCTATTTTGATGCTGTGTTTGTCTTCTATGTATTTCTTTAAATATAGACAATGCATTAGGAAATAATATTCACATAACTATTATTAGAATAAATAGGTTCACAGCATGAGACAAATCAAAACTGATGAGAATACCTTAAAATTTTCCTCTCCATTGCCTTCAGGATCAGACCAAAATAGATCTGTTTTCCAAAGGTCCGTTTACATATGTATATTTCAGTTTCAGATAGCAATGCAATTGTTCAATTCTTTATTGAATTTTTCACTCTTTTGAATTCACAAAAGATTAGAATTGAGTCTTAACTGGCTTTCCTACTCAAAATTCAGCTTGAGTTTTATTGCTCATGGTGAAAAAGGATTATGAGGTCAGGTGCATAAGTATTGCAAGGATAAGAATTAGGATTTTTGCTTGCTTGCTTGTTTGTTTGTGTTAAGCAATGTCTCAAAGCTGGTCAATACATTATGTTCCCGTGTTTATCCACTTTATGCCCATGGACGTCTGGTGACCCATCTCCAGCCTCCTTCAGCTTGGATGGTCTGCATCCTCTTGGCCACCCAAAAGGACTCCCTCCACGTGGCTCCCCTGCACTGCCCATGTCCATTCCATGGCAAAGGCTCATGCTGTCAGAGTGTGTAAACTGATCCCACCTCAACACACTCCCCAGCTGCATCGCCTGAGAATTACTCAGCCGGGCCCCTGTCCTCTGTGTGCCCTGCTGGAGGCAGAACCTGTTCTCAGTTGTTTTTTGCTCTATCTAGTGTGAGTCAGGCTCTGGTCTTCTGTGTCTCCCCACAGCGAGGAGCACATATGAGTATTCTCAGGGGGGCCCCCTGCTGCACGTCTCACTAGGCTTCCGACTAGAAAGTCATCCCAAGGAACATCTGGAGGCAGAAACCACCCTGGAGCCATTGGCTCCACCTCCCGTATTCAACTTGTGGATGCTTGTGAGGGGCTTGACATTGCTTGAAATGAGCATGTTATGCAATACTTGGTCATTGCTTATTCTCTAGAGGAAAAAAAATAGAGCTTCAGGTTATCTGTGTGCCTCTGCAAATGGCACTCACTTCATCCAGCTCTACCTCCAACTATTTCTTTTTCTTGCAGTACAACTTCGTGTCTCATTGGCCTTTTTTAAAAAAACTTAAATGTGTTGAAGTGGTTTCAGATGTGTGTGAAGTGCTGCCACTCATCTGGAGGCTGTATCTGCCGCCTTCTGTCTTGTGTTTAGAGTTCTGGGCCCTTAGGGAGGGTTAATTGATAAAGATGATGCTGGCAGGGACATAAGCAGCAAGATACCCCCACAGGAGCTTTTAATGGTTGTTTCCTCAGCCAAATACATAAGCTCTATCTCTACTCATTGGCTGTAGTGTTAACTAAGCAATGACAAGGAAAGTTTTCTAAGATAACTATCCCTTAAAAAAAAGTGATATAGAGAAGCAGCAACGTTGTCATAGTTTCTGAGGATGCCTACGCTTCTGTGCTTAGCCCTAGAAATTAATTCTGCAGCTGCTGATTTAGAGTAATGAACTCTAAATCAATATATTTAGAGCTGAAGTCTTGTAGCTCATACTTAAAGTTTAATAGCTATTTCTGTGGCTGAGCTTCTGCTTTGCAGCCTGTTCTGACTGTGGTGGTGAGGAAAGACTCTTTCTCCTCTGTGGGAGTGTCACCTTGTAAAGTTTAAATGTCTTCCGAACGGAATCAGTGAAGCCAGGTTTTCCATACGGGCGCCAAATTATTTTCACCTGAGTAACCTAGACTCTTAACAATAAGCGTAGGAGAATATCAGACAAGATCTCTGACAGTCCAGAGGTTTATCTGGGATGTGTGGGGCCTCCCATTGCACATGGTACCTCACAAGAAGATATTTCAGTATCTGGGAGACTGTCCATTATGTACTCTTCCAGTTTTAGTCATGTCGGCCAGTGACCAGGGGCCAAAGGGAACGGGGAGATGAGTGGCAGAGTGGGAAGACCGTGGGCTTTGGAGGCTGGCAGACCAGAGTCCATCATCTACTAGGACAATTATTTACCCTTTCTGAGACTTAGAAGCCCCATTTATAAAGTGGAAATATGCCAAGCTGGCAGTGTTGATGTGAACATTGAATGAGATCATAGGTGTAAAGACAGCTGGCATATCACTGGGCATTTGGAAACAATAATTGTTCGATTTCCTTTGTGGAGAGAGGTAGAGAGGAACATGAAAAAGGATAGCACAGGCAAAACTGAACGTAACAACAGGTCATGTGAGGGTGACACCTACTCATTGTCGGTTTCACCAATGTCTACCCATCCAGCAGGATACAATCAAGGAGAATCAGAGCCTTCCTTTTTACTTCCAAGGCCCCAACCAGAACAATTTCTGAGACCACTCCCTCAGTAGTCTCCCTGTCCCTTTGGCCTCATCATTCATTTGCATATACCTTGCATGAGATGGACAGACCTTTACGTAATGCTGAGGTTGTTGTCATGGCCTTGCCTGCTTCTCACTTTCCGCAGTGGGCGCATTTTCCTCAGCACTGGTCCACATGGCGGCTGCTGATCCCTGACAACAGTTGCTGATGTTGAGGCAGCTAACCTGTAGGATCTGTCTCTTGGTGTCTCTCTTTTATTTTTGAACTCTTTGTTTCCCCTACACTTTCCCTTTTATTTAGGCCTTTATTCTGGAGCTCGGACTCTGTCTCCTAGGTCTAGACAATATGAGAATTATCACAACGTGACCTTCCTTGGTGTTTATCCACCAGTGTACTTGGAATGAGGCTGATGGTGTTGATTCTCCTCTTCAAAGGAATTATTTCCTACCCACTCGTGGAATTATTTGAACTGTCTGGGGAGTAGCCTTTGTCCCAACATTTTTATTTAAGTCTGTTTGTCCTAGAGCCATCTGCCAATACAATGACTAATCACTGCTTCCTTCAAAAGCTATATCTGAACCTCATGAAACAGGGCATGCCTCAACATGTCACTCTTGCTACAACGTGCAAGAACATGTACTAATACCATTGAATCAGTGTCAATGTGTGCCAGATATTGTACTAGGGCCAAGCGTAAAATGTTGATTAAAATATAGTCCTTGATTCCTGAAACTCACATCCAGTGAAAGCATTTTCTGAACGTAGTCACTAATCCAACAAGGTAGGTGAGGCGGCACATTTGTTTTCTGGGAGAAACACAGATGGTCATGGTACTTACGTGACTTGCCGTGTACACACAGCTGGTAGTGACACAGCCAGGCCTAGAACCAGTGCATCTCTGACTCCGTAGTCTGATTCACACAAGAAGGGAACAAAGGCGAGTGGGGAGGCTGCAGTGCAAGGAAGCAGCTGTAGTGAGAGTTAGGGCCTCACTGTATGCATCCATCCTGCACAAAGAAAGGATGACTAGGTAGGTAGCAATGTTCCACATGTGACAGAGCCCTCTTTATAGAAAACTTGTTAGAGGAACATTCTACTCTCGGTTTTTGGATATTCTTTTTTCGTTCCTTTTGCTGTTTTCCATAGCTCAGAGTTCAGGGCATCTTTTAGACATTGTAGGCCACACATCCCTGATCTAGGGGAACCCAAATCCCGTGTAGAGAGCCCCTCTCAGGATGGTTAGCCAGCACGCACACTGAAGGGCCACGGCCAACAGTGTGGCCCCGATAAGTACTATCTCCTGTATTTAGATAGAATAATCTTGTGCAACCCATAGACTACCTTATTTCATGAATGATCTAAAATTTTTATAAAGATACAAATATATCTAGTACATGAAAGAGATCACAAAGAATGCCCTTATTTTTATTTTCCTTTTGAAAAAGACTAATTATAAAAATATGAACTAACCACTGCAAGTTTTAAAAGTCTAGAGATGGATATTCCCATTAGCATGCAAAGCTCTCTACTCAGATTTATAGCACAATTTCATTGAAAGACTTCTGAGTTATGTAATTATATTTTCCTGGATCAATTTAGCTTCACCAATATATAAAGCATCTTTGTTTTCAAAAGCCAGAAATGGAGTTATCCTAACAGTATTATTTGTTGAAATTTTTTTCATTTTATTTTCACTTACGCAATCCCATTATTAAATCTTTCAATAAAAAATATCACAGAGAACAGTTAATCCTTATAAAGCTTCTATTAATTCGAGGAAAGGTGAATGGCTGCATTGCATTTTGTTTGGTTTGCTTTGATTTGATCTGGTTTGACTCTGGCATTTATTTAATCAAAAGTGGGTTGGAAGCCATTAGCCAGAAGTGTAGTGGGGAAAAGGAAAGCTTGAAAAGCAGGTCAGAATCTTTAAAGTATACTTTAAAAAAAATTAGTGTAAAATATTATGTTACATGAATTTATATTTAGAGATGTAGAAAA